ACAAACCGAGTACAAATTTAAGGAATACAAATAACAACAACAATAGCTGCCTGCATTAAATTTTGGCATCAAACGTATGTATATATATATATATATATGTACGTATGTGTGTAAATGCGCCACAACAAAATGAACGACTACTCGTCTGAGGAAAAACAAAAAGGCAACAACAACAATACAAACGCTAAAAATCCAACGATCACTTAAATGCCACGCTACGCCATTGCTTTATGGCGATCGCTTACCTCAGCGCGCTCAAACAGGTACAACATATGTATGTATGTGTGTGTATGTGTGTATGTGTGTACCAAGCATATACACCATTTTATAATCAAAGCACCCGCTGAGCAGCGAATTGGCCATTTGTTTTCTTGGCAAGTCAAACGAATTTGTTTATCGAATCGCATACAAAATTATAGCCAAAATATGTATATATGTAGCCTGCCGCAGCAGCGACGAGGTAAGTTGTTGCACAGTACAAAACACTATTTCCAAAGAATATCGCCACACTCCAGAGCGGCAGTGATCGAATCATGAAAATGGCATTTAAATTGATGCAATTAGATTTGAATTTAGTGCTTGAACTATGAGGTGATTGGATTTTATAGGAACACATTGCTATAATCTAAATAGAATTATATGTACGTTGCAGTAACAGCATGAAAGGGCCATGTGCACCTTAACGGTACTAATGAAAATTGTAAACTATTCAAGCAGAAATAACTCGCGTGACGAATAGAGAGCTGGATTTTGGTTTAACTTGTTTAATGGCAAGTGGGCGGAGCAAAAATTATGGTAGTGAGACATAAAGAGACACACGCTGAAGTACAGTATGTACGCGATATAAACAGACATACCAATGACGTTTACTCATGAGTTGATACATATGTACATATCGTGCGTTTGACATATCGATAAATCTGATTTTTAAAAAATTAGTTGAACTGAGACTCATCTTTCTTGTGATTGGCGTAGAGTTATGGCTAGAAAATATCTAAAACTACAAAAAAAAATATAATCTTCGGGGTGTGTCAACTTCTCTTCTAACATGAGATAAGAATCCATCAACCTCATAAAATCGATCAACATTTCGGTGTCTTATTTATTTAAAAATGAACAATACAAACATCACAAATCGGAAGTTCATTTTGGTGGGAAATCGCCACAGTTTCTATTTTGATTTCATAATAATCTTGGTATAAAAAAAGGTAGTTTCACTCAAAATTTGTTACAAAAATATTAACCATCTGATATAATTTTTATCTTTTTTGACTTTTGCTTTATTTTTGTGTTACCTAATCAATTTTTAGTTAAATAAATTTTACATTTTCTAAATCTAAAATTATATTGTAAAAAAATGCAAAACCTTTCAATGTAGCCAAAAAAAAAATAAATAAATCAAGAAAAACAAAAAAGTCTTTGTACTGTATTTTCTGAAATCTAATGGAAATAAAATTATTTTCAGGCGGCTTTGCATTTTTTTATAAAAAAAAAATATATGAAATATTTTTAAAGTGGCAAAATCTTGAATAACAAGGTTTTTAGAATACAAGGTTACGACAACCGTTGTCGTCATCGAACCATCTTCGCCATATACACAATGGGCGAGACTTGATTAATATATATATTAAAAAAAAGCAATTTATTATTTAACAAAATTTAGCTATGTATGTGATCCTAATAAAATAAATGAAAAATTTTCATAAACAGAAATAAAATTTCATAATTTTTTTTTTTTGATAACGCCACAGCGGTCACAGATTTTGCAATTTTTAACTAAAAAATTGAGCAAAAATTAACAAACAGCAAGGTGTTGTGCAAGGTGTAAGGCGTAGCCTGTTTTAATCAAACCATTGTCCAGCTGGCCGCAGACCAACAAATGTGAATATGAGTCTTAGATAGCCATACACCCGTGGTGTTATATTTTTGTTTAACTATCCGATGAATTCCCAATTTCTCGATCCCAAAATATCAAGTTTACAGCTAAAAAAAACTTGTGTCACTAAAGCCATAAAATATATGATTTCGGAAAATATTAATGTACGTAAATCACTCACAAAAGTTTTTTTTTCAAGATTTTATCTACAATAACCCACTGCACTCTTTTTTTTTGCCTTGAATTTTTAAACACGATTCTTCCACAAAAAGGGGATGCCTTTCCCAAAAGCTTTTCTGCTCGCACTCTATGCAAGAGTGTAATTAATGTTAATTTGGAGCAAAGCTCAGTTTTAGTTCAACCAAACTAACAAAATAAAAAAAAATAAATAAATAAAAAAAGGAAGAAGAGCCACCAGCTTAGTAGAGCATGAATTTTAATATTAAATTCAACACTTTGAAACCGCTTTTGGTTTGTAATACGATCAATGGTTAAATTTCAGTTCAAACTGTACATTTTTGACAGTGACACGAAGCGCCAAGACCGCAGGAGCTGACAAAAATATGTCGCCTTAACGAAAATTGCTAAAAAAAATTACTCTTTATTTACTATTGTTCTTCATAGATATCGATGGAACTTGCCTTATCACTTAAACCTCATCTGGAACTAACCAAATCGCCTCTAAATACAAAGCATATAACCACCCAAAGTTTATACTACTCGGGTCAGAATGATGACTTGAGTAGATTTAACCATATCCGGCTGTTCTTTAGTTTTGGAGGTATTTATTTTGGGTAGAATAATTCGGCAAAAAAGTATCGAAGAGCATGAAATTTTGCATTCTATATACATACATGTATGTAAATGAACATTGTTACTAGAAATCAGCGAAATCGGAGGACTTTATTATGCAGCCCTCATACAAGTGATTCGTTTAGATATGAGATTTTGGGTCAAAAAACAATTAAAAAAACTTCCAAGAGCAAGAAATTTCCTCTTTCACACACGTATAAATAAACCCTGTGACGGCAATTCATTCACATTGGAAACTTCGTCATATAGCCACATCCAACCAATTTTTCAGATATGAAAATTCATATTTAAATCTAAAATGAAATACCCAGTTTCTCCAAAAGAGGTCTTATTTTTGTATTCAAATAAACTTTTCCCTTAAAAGATCGATAGTTTCGTTGATTGTGCTGAACGTAGAGCGATCTTGTTGAAAGTAAATGTCGTTCATATCAATACCATCCAATTCCAGACATATTTTTTTCATATTTCCGTAGATTACACCTTTAAAAATAGCATATTATGTGATAATTTCAAATTGATATCTCAAATAAATTTTGAGTTATAGCAATTTAAAGAGCAGCCGCTCGGCAGATAGAGAGTCTCATTAGCTACGAGTGAAAACGATCATTTTATCTTTAAACGCGTTTTTCTCGAAACAGCATTTTCCGAATTTGCTGCAGTGATTACTCAAAAACAAATAATCCGATAACTATCGAATTTTCTTTACATATTCTATATATAGTTCTCCGTACAATGACCTATCGATTTTTGACCAAAATTTTGGGTAAAATTTGATTATTTTTTTTAAAACGCCGCCATATTGTCAATTTTTGTTTTTTTTTTTTTTAGGTCTTTGTACAGACAATATTATCTAGTAGAGAATTTTTTTTTAGATGTCTTCCACGGAGAAGGCTGGAATCACTGCAGCAGTGAAGGACCTTTTTTCGCGCCTTTGGAGATCGACTATAACTTAAAAAATATTTAATTTTTTTCTTCAAAAACTTCACTGTATATTCTTGAAACATGTATAAATATATTCTTAAAATTGTGAAATAATTGATAAAGAATTTTTTTAAATAACAATCCCCAACAATCACCTTTTTTTAGGTTATTACACTAAGTGTGCCCCTTAACCATTTCCCGACAGCAAATCCAAATTACGTAACTGTTGCTCCAGCCTTATGTTCGAAGCAGTTAGGTTCAATAAACCCCACCTGATCATTAACTGCTCAAAACAGTTACACATTGAAGATGGAGAGGCTTTTCGCCAATAAATGTTGGGGCTTCCGAGCCTCCGATGCGACAGCTTTGCTTATTGACGTAGCCATCGATGTGGAATTCGGCCTCATCAGTCAAGATGATTTTTCGATGAAATTCTTATAGTGAATCGTAACAATTTCAATGCGTAGATGAAGTGTGTTTCAATCCATTTTCGTCGTTGGCCGCGGTAGCCGAGTGATTAGCATTGCGTACTGCCATTCGGAAGGCTCGGGTTCATATACCGATGCGGCCAACATCCAAAAGTAATGCAAAACTAATTTAAATTAAAAATTAAGCTAAATTTTTTTGACATGGCCATGAAATGTATAAGATCTCCGCATGTTTTTTTGAGGACCGCACTTATTTCCAGGTGAATTTTTTTATACGTTTGGCATTTTTTTTTACTAAACTTCTATTATTATCACCGAATATATATTTGAAAAGAACGAAATGTCGTTTCCAAAATTCAAATAAAGCTTTGGGAACTGCTTTCTCGGGATTGGAACCCTATGGATGATATTAGAACCCAAACGTTCAAACTTAAAATGTTGGGCTTAGACCTGTAGCTTGTTATTTAGCAACACCCTTACTGAAAAAAATCCACAGTATCACTTATCAGGAGCCAACTGCGCTCTCTATCTAATGCTCAATTCTCACGACACTGCGCCAACGCAAACGAAGACTACCAATAGCAAAGTCAATATGCCGATTGGTCGAAAATTCTCAGCCAATCGAAAAGTGTGGCGTTGAAAATGATCGAAGAACAAACAGATCGAGCACATGAAGAAGTGGAAGAAGCAAGAGTCGGTGCAACCGCTACCAAAAACACATTTCATATGCACATACATACTTACATACATATGTATAAATGTAAATAAGTATAAATAGAAAGCCAATTATACACTTAAATGTTTGTTTGTGCAGCTACTACAGATACTTTGAGTATACATAAAAACACAGCGATCATTGGTTTTGTGTGAAGATCTGCAGAAGTTAATGGATGGCTCTTTACGATGGCACCAGGCAGCAGAGATACAAAGCTGTATGCAACGCAACGCCTTTTATTGTGAAACCGCAGCAAGAGTGCCGTTATTCTACAATAACCCGCTACGCGGAACACAGTGTACACGCGGAAAGTGAAAAACGGAAATTTCGCAGTTTCGCGCTAAACCGGACACTCGGATACTCGAGCAAGACAGTACTTCCGCTACTTGTAGACATATTGGATTATTTCGCGCCGCAAACTAATCATTAGGTGTTACGGATGTACTTTTTGTTTGGTTCTTTGTTTTTTTTTTTTGTTTTGTTTTGCTCAGTATTTCATGCATTTGAATTGATATCGTCGACAAGGTGTCAACGACTGGTGAAGTGCCATCGAAGCGATTCCATCATTTCGCGCTTAACGGGCTGTGACTAGTTGAAAGTTTAATTGCTGTGCTAAAGAGGTGAACACGCTGAAACGAGCGTGTCAAGATACAATTCGCAAGTTGGTTAGTAGCGCCACCGCAATGATCATCAACACTTCAAGAGTGGTGGCCGGACGCGTGTTACGGGTGTTACGCGTCTGATGGATATGTTGGATATGTGAGCGAAATGTGTGTGTGTGTGTACGGATTTGTGCGAGCATCACAAGTGAACTCAACAAAATGCCAGAGAAGTGTTATTTGATTGATCGCGTTGGATTTTCTTGTCTATAAAGATTGATTGCGCTGGTGTTGAGATCTGTAGCGGAGCATACATACATACATACATCGGAATATCAGCTAAATTTGTGCTATTGATCTTTGCGCAAATAAAATATAAAGGTATAATCAAATACCGTTGCAAGTTCACCACCTTACGTGCGTGCATTGATCAATTTCATCGACTCAAACAAAACAGTCAAATCGTTCGTGTTGTGATCGCCCAATATTTCAACACTGTCCGACAATTCGCTGGCAACAAAAATCACTAAATATCTGTTTTGTGCATACATACATACATACAACTACATTGTACGAAAAGTGTTTGGAAAGAGTGAGATTAGCAATTTTTATTTTCGACATTTTTATTGTGTTTTCTGTGTGAAATGAATTACACTTGAATACGTCTTTATGCCACATACATACATACATATGAAGGTATGCACATACATATATATACTCTCACTCGTGCCTTGCAAAGAGTAATCGAAATTTCGTAATAATTGGACAAGCGTGCGAAAAACCAAGTGTGAAAGAGATTCTCAAAGAATTTACAACAAATGAAATCAATTGAAATTTTGTTAGAAAACAATTAAATTGCAAACAATTGATTGTTTGGCAAGTGTAAAGTGACAAGTGTTTCCCTGTTTGATATTAGTGTACTCAGCTTTGCTATGCATCAAGCCATCTATCGACGACCCGTTGCGAATTTCATGGGGCCTAACGAGTGTGCCAGCGCTATGGTGTCAACAATGTCTTTTATGGATAACGGTGGTTTGAGTACAAACATTGCGGATTATGGTTGTTATACAACCGATTATTGGGCAACCTCGTACACCGGAGGGCTGAGCCCAATGAAACAGATAGAAGGTATATATATGTATGCATATGTACGTACTACATACAGTATGTCAATTAATTAATTTGTAAAATGAAAAATCCCAAAAATTTATTTTAAATTTTATTTTATAGATAAAAGTATTTTATTTTCCTTTTTTTATTAATTAGTATTGTTAATCTAAGTATTCTTAACAAATATTAAAACAAACAAATATTAAAACCGAACGGTAAAAAAAATTTAAAAACAAATTTAATATTCGCCAAATATTGCTTTGTCAATTAATTCTTTGCAAAATGCCCACACAATTCAAAATAAAACGTAGATAACTTCACGGTACCGCAGATTCGAAAACGAATGAGCGCGTGCGTTATAGCTATGTGTTGCTCTATTACTTTAAATTCGATTAATGCGTTAGACAGTTCAGCAGTCTAATTCTGTAACTTTTATCGATACGATTTGTCGGAACGCAAAGTTGCGAATTTCGTCGATTAAGCGATTCTCTAACTCAGTTTTTACGATAATCGACAGCGGGCATTTCCATTTAATTAACATTAAGCAAACGTGGCACCACAGCTTAAAAAAACGTCAAAATATGCGAAAAGCTCAAAGAGGAATGGAAAAAAAAAATAAATTTGCTATAGAAAATATTTTTATTAAATGAATAGCAATGCAAAAAAAAAGTTTATCAAATCAAAAACCAGATTTGGTTTGCCCTTTCATGCATGATTCTTCGCTCTATAGAGGAGTTCCAAATAAAATAATTGTGCCGCGCTCTCAGGTACATGGCATTTTCCCATATATAATGAACTTTGTTCCATCAAAAGTAATTGAAAAAGATTCACTCTCACCATTTGCTTCCTTTCAATCGATAGCCCCAAGATTTCCTCCAGCAAATTGCGACGTAATGGGAAATCTGACCTTCGCAGGAGACATTGAACTGTTGACTGCTTCTGTTACGCGATGAATACAATAACTTACCGACGACTGACTTATGGGTATTCCCTATTGCTCTCCGACGGAGCGTTGGTTGCATCCAGTTGCAAAGAATCGCAAAGCGGAATCTTTAAACATTTTAAAAACTGAAAGCATATTTAAAAGCTACATTACTACCTGTTTCTCCGTAAATAATGCTGTTGCTTTCTGCCTTTTAGTTGGCTATCAGGAAACTCAGTTGTATTCAAGTGGAAACGATCTTCAACTTGCCGAAGCCAACTTCTATCCAATGATGAATGGTACAATACCTAATCATCTTGGGATTAAACGTATGCCAAATGCTCAAAAGCCATTTTTTCCATAATTATAGTTATATAACTTAGCCGATTCCCCGATTTCCCGATTTCCTTTACTACATCTTAACCTTAATGAAATAACAATATTTTGTCGATATCGCTAACAACTTTAAAAACTTTCGCCGCTTAGTTAGCGATTTTTCGAGTAGTTTACGATAACAGCGAAAGCAAATATCGTTAAAATAAGTACACCGAATATTAAAATCGTTAGAATTATCGCTAGGTCTTATTTGCGATCCGAAAATCGTTATACTATTCTTAGAGAATCTCGAATATCGTTAAGTCATTTTAACGATCCCAAAATCGTTATAATACGATAGAGAATTCCCCTACAGATCTTGTTGATTTAGTGCTTTTAACAATGCCTGGCAAGCGAACTAATGAAAATCTTATTCAATTAGTTTATTTTAACAATCACAAAGGGAAATCGTTCAAGGAATTAGCGGAAATGTTTTCCAACAAGCTTAGAACTATTTTTAATATTATTAAAAACGTAGAAAAAGAAAACAGGTTGGAGTTAAAGCAATCTGGAGGTAGACCACCGAAACTTTCTAGACGCGATCATTTAAAAATTTTTGAAGCAGATCAGTGATAATCCTCAATTAAAAATGATTGCCATAAAACAGTAAGTCACGAGACAATACGAAAGGCCTTAAAAATACACAATGGGACCGAGATTTGGAGACTATGCAGGCCAATCTACCAAAGCGATGTTCAGCTTCTAATACATTTATGTGCTTTTGACTGTCCATGCCAACCTCGCAAGAGAATATTTCGCCGACACATCAGCAGCCATACAGCCACAGATCGTAAAAAATAAAATGTTTTCATAAATTGCTCTAGGGTAAGAGGGAATGGCTGTTAATACTTTAAGACGATCTTAACTAAGCTTACGTCGAAATTTGATTCATCAGACCACAGAACATTCGATCAATCTTCTTCCCTGAAATGTTGGTATCGGCGAGCCCATTCCCAACGATTTCCCCTATTCTTTACTGAGAGCCACGGCTTCTTTCGGGCTTTACATCCTTTTAAACCTGCCTCTAGAAGTCTTCTTCTAGCTGTTCGAGCACTAAATGGTTTACTAAATTCATCCGAAAGGGCAGCTGCAAGGGCAGAAGAAGATTTTATGCGATCCTTGAGAGACTCACGTATAAGTATTCGGTCTTCTCGTTTACTGGTTAGACGCTTTTTTCCACTTTTTGATTTATTATTATGCGATTTCGTCTCCACAAATCGCCTGATAGCACATTGGACCGCGCACCGCGAACATCCCACCAAATGGCAAACTCATCCTGAGACTTACGTTCTTCACTTAGAACTTGAATTCTAACTCTATCATCGTAACTAATTTCACTTTTTTTTAAGCATTTTGGTAAATATGAACTTTTTTTTTATTTTTTTTTTAACTTTTCACTGAATGTAATTTACACTTTCATTTCAAAAATAAATGCGAAAATATTTTATGAATTTCTTAAAAATGGCAATTTTTAGGTTTGGCTTACCCAGAGTGCTTTGACTTTCAATATTACACAATTTATTCGTTTAACCAACAGTTAAACAGCCATGTAAGACATTTACAAAAAGAAGTGGTAACTTTGATGGCCACATTTGAGAATACTTATATTTTAGTGGGGTGGCAAATACTTTGAGCCTCGGCAAGGAAAATCAAGTCCGAGTTTATTTATGGCTTGAAATAAAACCTCCTCATAAATATCAATCAGTGTGGTTCGCTCCATTTGTTGGTAAAATATCAAAACGCATATCATAAATTGTAGGGTGGTTCTTTCGAAAATCGCTACAGGGTTTACAAATTGTCAATAATATACATATATAATCTAATAAGAATTCTCAAACGGATTGAGAACGGAAGATCGAGCGAATCAATCTAAGAACTCTATAGCATAAATTTAACAGTGTCTAGAGGTTAAAAATCTAACAAAAGAGCTTCTAAGAGTATGCAATTTTGTATTATCGAGACAACTGGTTTTTACAGACTTCTTTTGAGCGCAATTTTTCACTAGAAAACATTCACCATAGACATCTATAGATGGTAATCTGTTGTACTATAAGGTGGATGCATAAGAAGCATACAATCAAGCTCTGCGAGTTTCTGGTGAGTCACTAACACAATTTCTCTCTTGTTAGCTAAACTGGGCGCTTCAGGACGATTATTTCCTTCAGACGGTCCAATTGCTTATGGTATAAGTCCGAATTGAGAGTTTGGTCGTATTATTCACAGTGATTCCACGGCAATTCTATCAAAAACAAAACAAAACCTTAATGGTCCTCAATATTGGCTTTGAGACCGTTTGTGCCGGCTCACTGTCCTTCCACCATGACCGCTTTGCTTTGACTTTGCTGTCATTGTTTTTCATTACCAGATACCATACGCATCAAAATCGGGTCGATTTTGTTACGATTTAGCGGCGTTTGGCAGTTTGAAATTCGGTACATGATGTTTTTTCGCGTTAACTCATGGGGTTCGCACACACCGAGTTTCTTTGAGCATCCAGCCTTTTTCCAAAGTGTTCCAAACTCTTTTTTTGTATAATATTTAGCTACTGTGCAATCGAAACAGTCGCGTGAGGGTCAGAGTCCACGATTTTATCGACATTTTCTGGCTCATCTTTTACATCGAAATCGCCGGCACAAAATTGACGAAACTGAAATTTGTGCATGATTGCCTCTTTCAGAACCATTAATACTGATCAACACTTTTCCCGTCATCTTTTTTAGTACAAGATATCATCTTTCTAACGCCCTCTAGCGTAATCCCACCGCAACAGAAGATCTCTGCAGATATACGGTTTATATGGTATATATAAGTAGGGAGCTCATGGAATTGTGGACACTGAAAATGTCCGGAAATTGTCATTTAAACTGCCTGCGCTGAAGCTTTTTTTGTTAAGTTGGCAACACTACCCTTAATTACTATTGTTTTTTTCAGCTGTTGAAATCTGCCGACCTCAGGGAATTTTCTTTTACGGTCTCAATCAAGGGGTGGTAATTTGAGTTTTGGAAAGAAAAAAAAGTCGCATGGAGTCAAGTCCGACGACGGTGGTTGAAAAAAAATATTGAACGAGTTTTTGGTCATAAAATCGTTCACAACTACAGCTCGGTGCAATGGCGCATTATCGGTCATGAAAAGCTCAAATAATACTCTTTATTGACCGTCTCCCCATAAACTTTCTGGTCTTAATGTAGGTACACAGCCCCCTTCGACTATAAAATCCCATTTAGATTGGTTTGTATTAGCTTTTCGTTCTTTCTCTAGGCGCAGTCATAAAAATTCCTTTATTGTGGTGGACTGCTACCTATCTCTACAAGAGCTGTGACGTAATGAGGCTTGTCGTAAATTTAGGCGAATTAAGCTGAGACGTGATCGGAAAAGTTGCAAGTGCTATACTCTTTAAAGTGGAAGAGATCTTGGAGAATGTAAGCCCCACAGAGAGAGTATGGCTTAGATTTGGCTGCCTTCAGGTCATCTTTAGAAGAAACATCTTAATGAAATTCGAAAGAGCTTTTGCAAAAAGAGCGGCTAGCGATGGTCAGGGAAAGTAAACCTTGATAACAGCTGTAATAGCTTTTATCACAACTAAAATTAGATGAATTAGAAAACGCTTTAATTATTTTGCTATCTCGATTTGGTATAAAAACTAAAATAATGAGAGAATTTTTCATATAATAGATGGATATTCAAACGATCGTAAATAATTAAAAAATAAAAAATTCAAAAC